TGCTTTGAAAGTGTTCGTTGTAATAATGGCCATGTTTTCATTTGTCGTGATAATAGCTATAATTAAGTTTGACCAAATACATGACTAAGCCATTTTTCTCATTGAAAGTTCTCTCTGTCGATACCACGACAACTCTCCGAGGTGGTGGGGTCTAAGAAAACGTCAAGTCAATGTTTCAATAAGTTGAGTTTCAACTGTCACAACGGGAAGGAAGTGGCGGTTCCTTGTTTACAAGTCAGGATGCATTTTCTACTAACGGAAGTGAGACTCGGAAAGTCTGGAAGGATCAAGGTGGCCCCTCTTTGTTCTTGTTTTCTTGATCATTCGGTAATCCTGGGCAGTAGAACTTGTCACTGCTGATGAATACTGCCTAAGAGATGGTTAACTCCCATCGCGAGGTGAGTTTTTAATGGAAAGGTTTTATGCCAGTGGAATACATCTCCTTGATGCATGATAATGCCCGTCTCACTAATGCGGGCTCTGAGACCGGGAGTCCACGAGTAATTCGTTCAAATGAAATAAAGCCCGTTCGTCTGGCCGGTCGTCGCCTGCTCCGTTGTTAACACCAACCAGATGATGTAATCTGTCCCTTCCTTGTTGATAGGATGTTTTCTCTAAAGAGACCATCAAACATGGCCTCGGTCTGGGTAGAAATAATGAAGTTACTCCCTGGGTCTTAATTATGTTACAAGCAGGAGTTCAGTGCTAGAGGAAAGATAAAGAAAGAGGAAAGCTATCTTCTTTTTACAGATATCCCAAAGGATTCAGAAACATGTGTCCTTAACATAAAGATGGGAAGACTCAGAAACGGCCATGTGAACAGGTGGAGTCTGGAATGTTTGGGCTTCGGAGGTTCTTGCACTTTTCTTTTAAAGAGCAAAATTACCTGGTCCGGGAGAAAAGGAAGTTCTAGCTACTTGCTCCTTAATGGATTTCAAAAGCCTTAAGGTGACACACACGAAAGATTATTACTAGTAATTTCTCTGTTCTAAGGGTCAATAGCCAGGGAAGACACAGAAGCCATATACCCACAGCAACTCAATTCTGAGTCCTCGTTCCAACCAAAGAAGGTTATGTCCATCTTTATAGTCTCCCCACCCTGTTATGACCTACAAAAAAAATTGCAGAGTTCAGAACAAATCAAATTATATTATTCATTTTAGATAACTGCTATTGAATATTCTTTGCAGAGGTATGCCTTCTAGTCTTGAATCCTGGATTTCAGAGGAAGGGTTTGGGAAAACAGTCTACTTGGAAATTTATCCCATAATAGCATAGAAATGTAAGCTGAAACGAATTTTAAAGTTTATTTAGGCCAGCCCCCTTGTTTTTAAAGATGAGGAAATCGAACGCCTTTTTTAAGGCGAAACAACTTGCCAAGATCCCACAGTGTATCGAGAGCAATGATGTTTCGATGCAAGGAACAGAAAATCTGACTCACTGCAAACTGACCTAAACAGTGCTTATCTTACTGAAGAAGGACATGTATGGTGGGAGTGTTCGTCTGACTTAAAATACCATAGACCGGGTGGCTTAAAGAGCATAAATTTAGTTTCTCCTCCCAGTTCTGGTGGCTTCGATTTGCCAGCACGGTTGATTCCTCCTGAGACCTCTCTCTTTGGCTTACAGAGGGCCACCTTCTCGTGTGTCCTCGCGTGGCCTTTTTTCTGTGGGTAAGCATCTCTGGTGTCTCTTTCTCTTCGTTTAAGGACACCAGTCCTGTTGGATTGAGGCCCACCCATATGACCTCATTTCACTTTAGTTATTTCTTTAAGACCCATCTCCAGAGAGAGTCACATCAGCGGTAAGGGCTTCAACTTAAGAACTCTGGGGAAACATTCGGACGTAACACTGTGTTTTAGCCTCCGCTGATTTCGCAGCTTCATGATACAGGTAAAGGTCCAGTTCTTTCCACAGTGCAGTGCACTCTGTGTGGTGGTTTGGCTGTCAGGTGACAAGAAGACGGCTACAGCCATTTCAGATTTCACGTTGACATTGATTTTGTACTCTGCATGGTGGTTTGACTGTCAGGTGACAAGAAGACGGCTACAGCCGTTTCAGATTTCACGTTGACATTGACTTTGTCTGGGGGGGCGGCGGG